TTCCAAATTGCAAATTGATTGCACACGGGAACTTTAGAGTTACTGTAAGCGTAAGTACACGTTACACGATTCAAAATTGTACTATATATCACAAAATAATCGAGTAAACCTCGGATGATGTGTAGGGCTTGGACACACAAAGCTTTCTTCGCCCATGGTTAATGACGCAACATCCTTGCACGAAGTGTAACGTATAAATTACGCTGTTCACGGGCACACAGCAACCATGGATATCGTTTTGATTGCATCGATTACGCGGCGAGGCACCGTATATCACAGAATTGAATGTTTCGATCGGTGGGATCATTGCCAGGGCCACGTTACCCAACCGATTACGTCTTTCTCGTTGATACCACACCTCTGGCCACGGTATCTCGCGTATTAGGATAAACTGCCCGCGATTACGACAGCTGGAGCCGGGGCTGTATCTCGCAATTTTTCTGTCGGGGGCTCCGTGGGCTTGTGGGCCACGCAGTAAATTCCACCGAGCTGTTTATGACCGCCTTGCGCCAATTCTGACGCTTCGAAAGTGCAGGGATGCGCGTGAAATGCAGTGGCTCTCATGCTTGTGCCTTCGATCCACCTGTTAGTCGGTCGAATTATTAATTTTGGGAGCGTGGGGAACGTAACAATAAACCCACGAAGCTCTCTAAACACTCAAAAACATTTGAGGCTTTGTGATTATGACCTAGTGCCCCTAGAACAGCTATTTAATTAGCAAATTCACTTAAATACGGTGATTTTCATCTCGTCTCGAAGCTTTCATCGAACCCTCGAGCCATAAATGTCTATCAGTCACATTCAGCTCGTCGAAAATAGGAATCTTCACGTTGCAAGCACAACGCACTCTTATCCCTTCGATCCTCGTGTTCTGATCAGCACTTATGCTGCGTTGATTGTAGCCTGTTGCAAGAAATCTCGCGGATACGTCGTTCGGGCAGCAGAGAACACATCGATAGAAACGTTTAACCAGCCAAGTAAGTCTAAAAAAAGGCCTGTGTCAGGTTGTTTGGTTTACATCCTAATATTAAACGATAAGAACCCGTCAGGAGGATATCAAGTTCGAAGCAAACGAGGAAACACGAGCTCGAGACATCGTCGTTTCTAATAACTTTATAAACTAATAATAATCTTGGCTCGTTAAATACCCTGGGAACTTAATCGCCGAATTTTCCGTCGCATCCCAGACGCCTTGGAATACAAGTTACCGTGAACTTTAAATCCAGCAAGTTTATCGCGTCCCGGGGTGGAGCATTTCTGCGTATCACATAGACTCGAAGAACACGAGCATAATTTTAACTATTTTGATCGAGGTTCGCATTGTCTCGTAATCCAACAATCGCTGGTAAGTACATAACTGTTTCACGTTGCAATCGAGTGCATAAAAAAATAATTTTTGAACGCTTATGCACTGTAATATTTATTTTCAGAATGTAACGAATAGCGTAAAATATTAGTTTGGTGAAATAAATATCGTTCTCTTGAAGCGAGCAACGCTTCTTCCAATTGTGGCGTTGCTTCTAATGCTCGCCGCTAGAGGGCTCGCGCTCTCACAAGCGCTCCACTCGACACCTAACCTAACCTGCAGCGAACCACAGCGCCACACAATGATAAATTTAGATATTGTTGTTCTTTTATTCACTCCAAAACACGTGTATCGTTGACAAAATCACATTTAATTAAACGAAAAATAAAATATGAAATAATAAAATGTATGTTTGGCACGTTTGGAAGATTGTATTTCGTTTTAATAGCCTCTGCTACCCAGTGACATGAATTTGCTTCAACCCTAACCCGATTCTACCGCTTATCCTTGGCGAAGAAATATTTTTTCTTTTAGGAGACACCTTCTGAAAGGTTCAGAGATCATTTCGGTGGAATAATATCGAGGATACGAGTGTCTGGTAATCGCGAGTTGCACGCTTGTCAAAAGTACGACGGAAGAGAAATTATCGAGTATTCGTAGCAATTAAACTTAATACCTGGGCGTTAAGTATGCAATTAACGACGTTACATTGCCGCAAAGGCGTGTCAGTACGCAACGAGATTTGAAGATCTCACGCACGTAATACACTTTAGAGAGTTTCTCATCAGCGTCGCGATACGGTTCATAAATTGTTGCCAACTGAAAATAGCTACTGCGGGAGGAAGCAGTAAGAAATAACGTCTGTTTCATACGACAGGGGATTACAGTGGAAAAGTTCCACCAAATGCTAAAAACTTCCGCGTCCCAGTTGTAAATGTTCCGGGACTTTATAAAGAATCGTACTAGAATTTTAATGTATTTGCGTGTCATGTGTATTCCTCGACACGCGCGAGCACCGCTGGATATAATTATAATATTACACGTTTATGCATTTCTTTTCAATTTCATGGCTTTGTTAAAAAGTTATTAAAAAATGAAATTGAAAAATTTCAAACCGGTCTAAAAAAATTATTTTTAGCTAGGGGAGTTAGTTACAATCGTTTTTGGTGAATAGACATACCCCCGAAATCCTATCCAGTTTCGTGAAAAAAATTCGAGTAGATGTGAAATTTTTCCGACAAAATTAAAAATTTTCAAATCGTTATAAAAAAATTATTTTTAGTTGTAGGGGTCCATTGCAATCATTTTTGGTCATTACACATGCCGCCGAAATCCTACGCATTTCCGAGAAAAAAATTCGGGTGAGTGCCTAAATTTTTCGACGAAAAAACAAATTTCAAATCGTTCTAAAAAAATTATTTTTAGCTAGGGGAGTTAGTTACAATCGTTTTTGGTGAATAGACATACCCCCGAAATCCTATCCAGTTTCGAGAAAAAAATTCGAGTAGATGTTGAAATTTTTCGGCAAAATTAAAAATTTTTAAATCGTTCTGGAAAAATTATTTTTGGTTACAAGGGTCGATTACAATTGTTTTTGGTGAATAGACATACCCCCGAAATCCTACCCACTTTCGAGAAAAAAATTCGAGTAGATGTTGAAATTTTTGGACAAAATTAAAAATGTTCAAATCGTTATAAAAAAATTATTTTTAGTTGCAGGGGTCAATTACAATCATTTTTGGTGAATAGACATACCCCCGAAATCCTACGCACTTTCGAGAAAAAAAAATTCTTTATCAAATGTCTGACCATAGCATTGATATGTTTCACTGAAATTTCAAGCAAATCTTTAAAATGTCATAACTCCTGAACGGATTGGACGATTTTAATGTTTCAAAAAGCAAACGACGCGTATTTTGGCGTAGAATAAGAGGAAATTACAAAAATATTCGAAAAGTGAATTCTTCACCCTTCAAACTGAGAAAAACCCCATAAAAATTGTCCAATTTTCAAATGGCTATATCTCCTACAATAGTGGATATATTGGATTGAAATTTTGGGAGGAAGCAGAGTTTATGAATACCTATAAAAAAGTGTTAAACAAGTTTCCTGTAGAACGTCAAACAAAATGACTAAAAATCAAAAACGAATTTCTAAGAGAAATCGACAGGGGGTATATTTTCGGTGAAAAAAAAAATTTCAAATCTTTCTAAAAAAAATAGTTTTGGCTGCGGGAGTCAATTACGATCACTTTTTGTCATTATACATGGCCCCGAATTCCCATCCACTTTCGAGAAAAAAATTCAGGAAGATGTCTAAATTTTTCGACGAAAATGAAAAGTTTCAAATCGTTCTAAAAAAAATATTTTTGGCTGCAGGGGTGTAGTACCATCATTTTTGGTCAATAGACATACACCAGAAATCCTACCCTTTTCCTAGAAAAAAATTCGACAAAATTAAAAAATCTCAAATCGTTCTGGAAAAATTATTATCTATTATGGGGGCAAATTCGAATCATAGAGATGGAATTTTGGGAAAAAACAAACCAAGGAATTCATCCTAGAAATACTATATTACATAATTTTACTTGTTCGATGAATTTCCTGTTTGGAATTAAAATAAGAATGGTGAATACATTGTGGAAATGGCTTAGTTGTTAATAAAATTTGTTAAACCCACATATAAAATATGCATTTTTTAAATAACAAACCCGAATACCGAAGTAGGAAGCCGAACGAGCACAGCTGAACGTCCAATATCGCGTACTAGATTTTTTTCGAAGGTATGCCCGAACGAAATGCAAGCAACGTGAGTTAGTGCAACAAACAAGATAAAAGTACACGAACGTGCAAAAAGACAATCGCAATAACTGACTTCGCAAATCCATGCTGCATCGCACATAAAACCGGTCGAGGACTCAGGTGTGCGCTGGAAGATCCCTCTCTCTCTTTGTTAATGTTTTTCCAGTAATGTTTCACCGTGCATATGGATTTTTCGACGCTGAAATATTAATAAAAGGGTACCATAAGGATTAATCGTGATTTCTTTAACACAAATAACATTTATTTGAAAATAATCTTCAGAGGTCCGAGCAATACATTGAGCTACTCTGACCTCTCGAATATCTTAACCCCTTAACGCTCAAATTGTTCGGGTTAATCAAGAAAGATCAGTTTTCTTTATTAGATTTGTTTCTAAGCTGTATGAAAATGCGGTCTTCGTTGCACGTAACGTATAATTTGAAGGAAAACAAATATTGTCATCCCTTATAGAACGTTAGATTAAACAAAGCAGTCAAACTCGGGCATGATCGTTAACACTTTACCGACCGGTAGCGGTTGATTAATCGGCTATCGGTCGGTAAACGTCGATCGGTAAAACAGTTGATTAATAGGCTATCGGTCGGTAAGCGTTGGCCGGTAAAACAGTCGGTTAATAGGCTATCGGTCGGTAAACGTTGGCCGGTAAAACAGTCGATTAATAGGCTATCGGTCGGTAAAGTGTTAAGGGGTTGAATATAAGCATCGAAACGATTTCAAAGTATCGAGATAATATGGAAACGTTGTAAGGCGATGGAAATACATTTAATTTGCATGTGTAAGGCCAGTGCAATTAACTTCACTCTAAGTGACGAAGATGAACGAGGATTGACGGTATGATTATTTTCTCGTTTTTTTCTTTCCAGAATTCCGAGATATCTCTCTTCGAGACAAACATTCGTTTCATGGGAAGCCTGCTTGCCTGTTACGCTCTCACCGGGGACGTGATGTTCCGGGATAAGGCGGCTCAGCTTGGCGAACGGATGTTGCCCGCTTTCCAGACGGAAACCGGAATTCCTCATTCCCTCATCAATCTCCATACCGGGGTAAGTCTGGGGTTTCGCATCGGCCTCGACGTCGACGCCAGCATGTTTTAATGTTAATTATTTCTGATGGAATTGCGGCCCCGAAATTTACGCGGCGAAAACATTTACGGGCGAAAAGGGCCGGGCAATTTTGATTTAATATTCCTGGGGTATTCCTCTCAACACGATTACATGCAACACCGTTCAAAAGTAACCTTTTTTTAGCGTCTTTTGCTTCAGAGTCTGTAAATTTTACACAGTTCTCGTAATCTGGGTTCTTTGAACTGATCCTAGCTTGTTGGAAACGAAAAATTGGAAAGAGAACACTAAAAATTCAATGTTTTGTATTCAGGCTGAACGTTTTATCAATTGAATTTTAGTGCATTTAATCTGTTTAATGTTTGGAATGTTCGATTTAACCCTCAGGTATCCATCAGTATATACGAAAGGCGTAAATTTACGCTCACTGCATTTTTTTTACTGTAACACCTTTTACTGTTTTACCAATTGGTTCGATATGGAATTGGATATTTTAATTTATTTGCATTTATTAGCTTTTTAAACCGTAAGAATGGTCTCTTAAATCTCTGGGTACTGTTTTGGTCACCAGTCGCAGCGCCATCTATGTGGATGGATTCTTTTTAGAACGCGCCACAGTTGAAAGGTTAACACGTTCACTGTCAGATCGAAACCGTATAATAATCGACAAAAATAACATTTTGATTTTACGCCATTCTAAGCTACATAACTTAAAATTTGTTAGTTATTTTTGTAACCTTGTTAAAATTCCTAATTTATTTTTTTCAACGTCTTAGCTCGAGAATTAATTTTTCTAGTATCACCAATGGTGAATCCTGCCATCTATAGATCGATATGAAATATGATTTCTATATGATTTCTATTGACGTGGCAATGAAAGTGTTAATATTTAACAGGTTGACCGCCACACCAAAGCTGTGCAATCTTTAACGAGACCAAAACTTCGATTTCAATCAATTGTAAACTGCATAACCTAAAATTTGTCTACTTATTATCGTAACCTCGCTAAACTTTGTCCAATTCAAATTTATTTAACATTTAAATTTCAACTTCAGAATGAATTGTTTTAGTTCCATAATGGGAAAATCTTGTCACCCAAATATGGATGACGTAGCAATCAAGGTGTTAATATACAATATTCAATGTGTCTTTATGGACACTCAAGAACATAAATAAAAATAATTCCAATGTAGTGGAGGAATGTTTTCCGAAAAAAAGTTCGCAAGAAATTCGAATCATGCGAATCTTGGGCTCGACGAAGAAAACAGGCAGTTTTTTGTGTCGCGGTAAATTCGTTTCTCTTTTCGCCAGTAATGCATGCGCCCGCGGCGACGAAAAAAGGATTCTGCAGAGAAGGCGGTAACCCCGGTGGTTTTGCGCGCACATTAGAAACGAGAACATCGTTGTATTCGTCGTGTTTAATTGAAACGATTCCGTCGAGTCATGCTCGCCAAAGCGACAGGCCGCGATTAATATGCAAATTCTTAATTGGACGAGAAACGACGCCGTGGAAGGCGTTGGCCTAGGTCACTTTGGCTGGTCTGCATCTTTTCCTTTGATCGGTCTCCATTTGTTAACATTTGCGTTCGGAAACAAACCGTACAAATCACCAAAACTAACCCAGATCTAATCTAGGTCTAATCCAGACCTAACCCAACTTGTTGGAACAAGTATCACTGCATAAAGATTCGAATAACAAGTACTACTTTAGCTTATTGGGAAACTGTAATTTATCAATAGGTCTGGATTAGGTCTGGGTTAGGTCTGGGTTAGGTCTGGATTAGATCTGGATTAGATCTGGGTTAGGTCTGGATTAGATCTGGGTTAGGTCTGGGTTAGGTCTGGATTAGATCTGGATTAGATCTGGGTTAGGTCTGGATTAGATCTGAGTTAGGTCTGGGTTAGGTCTGGATTAGATCTGAGTTAGGTCTGGGTTAGGTCTGGGTTAGGTCTGGGTTAGGTCTGGGTTAGGTCTCATTTACACTGTTGTTGTATTTTGTAATTTCCAAGTGTATGATATCTGTTTAGTTTGGACTTGAAAGAATGTCGAGTGAGACTTGACGAAGGTGCTCCTGAGATCAAAATTGATGTCGAATCACACTCGACATAGGAGTGCAAAGGGTTAAGATAATTTGGATTATTAACTAATCCAGACCTAACCCAGACCTAACCCAGACCTAACCCAGACCTAACCCAGATCTAATCCAGATCTAATCCAGACCTAACCCAAATCTAATCTAGATCTAATCCAGACCTAACCCAAATCTAATCTAGATCTAATCCAGACCTAACCCAAATCTAATCTAGATCTAATCCAGACCTAACCCAGATCTAATCTAGATCTAACCCAGACCTAACCCAGACCTAACCCAGATCTAATCTAGATCTAATCCAGACCTAACCCAGATCTAATCCAGACCTAACCGATTCTACAAAGATTTGGGTTCGATTGGAAAGTAGTGTTAAGTGCAATCGTCGACGAAAGTGAATAAAATTTGAGAGACTTTTTCGACTTTCCTAGTTTGCTTCCCTCTTATCTTTTAACGTTTCTCTTTGATGTGTCCAAATTTTCTCGACTTCCTGTCCGTACTTTCCCTTGATTGTCTTTACCTGTGTTCGACGTTTCTGTAATACTTTTCCTCTCCGCGTTTTCCGCCTACCGTTTCGCGAATCCTCGACATCAAACGTACTTTTCGTTTGATTTCGCTCTTTCCTACCTTTCTTCCCCCTTTTCGTCTCGATCCGCAATTTTCCACGAACGATACGACCGACTACTTCGACAGCTCTTTTCGTTTTCCACGCCGCGAAAACTCGGAGGCGAATGGAAATCCAGAACCGTTTTATTTCTCGCGACCATACCGAAGTATTAAATAAACGTTGAAATTGGATTTCCTATCTTTCATATCACCCTAACGGTGGGAGTTTGCTCGCAGAGAAATAATTAAAGACCTCCTCCGTTACAGTTTTCAGTCACTTTTAAAACGTCCTCGGAAATATCGTAAAATTACTTTTTCTTTGCCCGAAGAGTACTTTGAGGGTACACAAAAATCGAAATTAAATACAAAATTAACTTTCAGTCGCCAGGTATAAATAATTCATTAATCTTCATGATTATTCGATTAATAATTATGATTATCATTGTTACTTTTTCTAACTGAGCGTAATTTTTGTACTCGTACTAAATTTCAAAGCTTTCTTCGTCGAATTCCCAGGGAAATTCAATTTTACAAGGAGCGAATATTTGTCTTGGAAAAGAGAAGACAAAGCTAGTTCGTTTCACAACAGACGTCCATAATGTAAACGAAACTGTCTTTGTTCTTTCGTTTGATTGGTTCACTTTGGTTTGTGGTGTCGACTGATCGAAACGAAATTTCGCCAAAAATTTTCAGGCGAGCAAGAATTACGGCTGGGCGAGCAGCGGGTGCAGCATACTGTCCGAAATCGGTACGATGCACCTGGAATTCACCTACCTTAGCGACATCACTGGCAATTTGGTCTTCAAAAGCAAGGTGGAGAACGTTAGAAAAGTGTTGAAGAATCTGGAGAAACCGAAGGGACTCTATCCGAATTATATCCACCCTAGGACTGGAAAATGGGGACAACGTAAGTTATCGAAACAACACAAATTCATCATATATCAATTAGTATAGTTTTTTACCTTTTAAAATTAAGTTACGCTAATATTTAATGTGACACTATATATATGGGAGACACACGAATAATCTATACGACATAATTCAAAAATTTTAAAGGGGAAGTTTCAAAATTCTCCCCTTTCGTCTTTCCTATACATACAGGGTGGTCCAACGCAATTGTTTCAAGCCATAACTCCGTTATTATTGCATTCACGAAAAAATGTCAAAGGGGAAAGGTAAATGGTTCAAAGTGCACTACATCCGTAGGCCTTTAAATTTTTTTTAGATGCAGCGGTGCATGTGCAATAAACAATCGCATCATTTCTTTGAAGACATTTTTTGAAAATATCTCGGGATCTAATAACTTTTTGGCCATGGTACCCTAATCATTTTTTACGCAGAATGGACAGAAGAATCGATCTGTGTGAAAAAAAATATGCATTTCTGTTTAAAGAAACGATGCAATTGTTTGTTGCACATGCACTGTTGCGTCTAAAAAAAATTTAAACGCCTACGGATATAGTGCTCTTCGAACCATTTACCTTTCTCCTTTGGCATTTTTTCGTGAATGCAATAATAACGGAGTTATGGCTAGAATTTTGTACCAAATTTTGTCCATAGTTCAGATGACCGCAGAACAAACAATAAGAATAGAAATGAATATTGTAAAATTCATGAAAAGTCATGAAATGGCGCTAAATCAATATCGTGTGTTAGAAATTCAAAATAAAATTTAGAAAACTGTTATTTGATCAAAATTCTTAAAATACGCGATTGTTCAGGACTCGACCAACGCGTTTATCGTATTGTAATCGTCATTTCCACGAAAAATACACAATTTTCTGGTGAGGTGTTGTGTCTGACGTGCCCCGCTGTGATTCTGGAACCCTCTCTCCACACTGCATGCACTTTCGAGACCCTAAACTTGAGATTTGAAGTCGGAGCTCCTCGACCGGGGGATTCAGTTTTCACGAATCCTTTAAACGAGTTTGCATCTCTTTGATTCTCGCGTGCCTCGACCGCATCCAGGAGCTCTCGCCGAGACGCATTTCAATTTCTGTTTCTCGCAGTTCCCCGCGTTTCGATTTCACTGTCCCGACCACACGTACGAAAAAGTAACGAACGCGACCGCCGCGATATAAATTTCAAAGAGAGCCGCGGCAGCGTGTTCCTTTCGAACTGGCCACGCCAATTTCAATCACAGTAATCAGTTTGCTCGTGGAAAAAAAGGACGCAACACCTGGAACTAATTATTCTTTGAGCTTCATGAATTTCTATTGGAAATAAAACATTTCTCGTCGGATAAAAAGCTGGGTCGAGAAACAACGCTCGAACGGTGACAAATACAAGAGACGTCGAAAACTTCTCGATAGAATCGACAGGAAAAAGAACTGACGCCCTCGTTAGTCGGCCAAGAACAACAAAAAGTCACTTCATCACTGTAATTTCATTTGATAAATCTTCTCAGAGGTCAAATAGATTTCTAATCCATCGATTATATTGCTGAAATAGTTCTAGAAAGTGAATGCAGAAAGGGTGTTGTTCCCGTTTGATGGTGCTTGTCAGGTTCCTTTTGCCTTTTGGAGACGCCATTACCCGAGATCTCTTTGCGCGATCCCGAATAACGCATTTATCATGCCGCGCATCCCCTCGGGTGCTAAATCCTCTTCTCTCGTTGTTCCGCCGACTTCGTGCTCGTCCCGTGTTTTCCCCAATGCACGTATGACGATCTCTTGCGTCCTCTCTTTCTCATCGCCGAATATTTATCATCCTCCTGGAACCGAACGTCGACCGTTCTTCTTCCGTTTTCGTTTCTTTGCGGACGCCCGGCGACCGTCAAGCCTCGAGTCTTCTGAAATTTATGGTTCCATTGAAGACTGTCGAGTTATCCAGGGCCAGGGCGAACGAACTCTGTTACGAATTTTCGGCGAACTAATTAATACTCGAACGGAGGTTCAGGGTTGGTTGGACCAGCGACAGAATTTCAATTTTGTGCTTGAAATTTGGTGTAACTGCAGCGGACTGTGTACTGTGCGTTCGCGAGAAGTTGGCTGGTTGTCTGATTGGTGCCTGAAATGGGCGGAGCGAGCTAGCCACTCCCACTTGCCAACTTCTCGAGGACGCACAGTAGGTACACCCAAAAGTGCAACGAAATGACAAAGTGCAGGTGATTATTACGCATTTAGATCGAAATTCACGCGGTCGAAGCATGTCGAAAGTGAAGTTTCACCATGACTGCCTCTGCCTAGGTCTGTCGTCCGTCGAATTTAATTTATTTCGATCCGTAATCGCGGTTTTTCCTAGCACGAGACTTCATTTCTAGCCAACGACCCGCGAACGCGGTGGAAAGAGGAAAACGAAAGTCCTCGAAGTTTCCCTCAGCGAGGGGGATGGAAGAGTCGCGAGAGTAAAGCTGCTCGAGCTCTTTCCTCTTTGTCCCGCTGGCTCTCAGACGAGTTGTCGGAGTAGCCCTCTTCCTGGTACAAAAACCTCGCCGATATCCACGGGCGAATCACAGCGCTGGCTGTCTTTCCCGTTTCTGAAGAACCGCGGAGTCGTTCTGGTAGCCAAGTGGCCGACCATTTCGCTGCTCGTTGTCATAATGAAGCATCCTTCCGGCACTCGTCCGGCGATATCTTCGAAAACAGACGGTCCTCCTTCGTTATCCGGCTCGACGTTATTAATATCATTTCCCTTTCATCGCAGGGAAACGCAAAGTTAACTGACAATCTATAGAGACGTCGCGAACGATAAATAGATCGCGATTCCCGCGTTAGATCGAGCGAATAGCCCAGCGAACCATTCAATTGTAAATCACTGGTACTCTCTAATCGTTGAAAGTTCGTGATCTTTCATAAAATTACGAATTCGATGCACCTTTGCTCTCATTTCGAAAGCTTTTTGCATCATCCTGTTCGTTTAACACTGAACCTAAGCGTTGTTAGACTGTTTTAGGATAGTAAAAACTGAAGATTCTCTCCTTTCATCTTTCACGTCGAAAGCTAATCTGAATTTGATACCAAATTTTGTCTGTTTCTTTAAAATAATAATTTTATAAGATTAAAGATTATATAATTTACTTATATTATTTTATTATATTTAAATTTTATATTAAATAAAATAATAAATTTTTAATTAATAAATAATAAATTTAAATTTGCAATTTAATAGTTTTTTTAACTTATAAAAATAAATTCTATCAATACCGAAAGAATTAATTCTTCATTAATAAATTTACAATTTATTCCTTTCATCAGGCACAATATTTTATGTAATAATTTTATTATATTATAGTTGTTAAATAGTTTTCTTGGATCATATATTAAATAAAATTAATAAGCTAATAAATTTTTAATTAATAAATAATAAATTTAATTTTGCAATTTAATAGTTTCTTTAACTTATAAAAATAAATTCTATTAATACTTCAAGAATTAATTCTTCATTAATAAATTTACAATTTATTCCTTTCATCAGGCACAATATTTTATATAATAATTTTATTATATTATAGTTGTTAAATAGTTTTTTTGGATCACATAAGGCTATTTCATAAGAATTTCATTGTACATCATTTCAAGATATTAAAATTAAATAATAATTAATTTTTATTTATAAACAAAGTAATAAAATTTAAATTGAATTATTATATTTTAAATATTAAGTGAATAGATAAACTATTAAATTTCAAATTTAAAAATATAAATAAATTATGAATTTTAATAGACAATAGTTTAATTAAATGATTTTATTCAACAAATCATAAAAATATTGGTATATTATAATTTCTATTTGAAAAATTATTAATATGGCAGAACAGTGCAATGAATATAAGATTCTTATATAAAAATAATATTTTTTGTTAATAATTTCGCATTGATATATATTCACTTTTCAAGATCCTTGTTCACCGTATGCTAACAATTGAAATTTACTTTATAATATTACAATACTTGTAATAGTTATTATTATTTCATTTACATTAATAATTATATTAGATATTTTACTAAATAGATTCATAAATCGTTATTTATTAAAACATCATACAATTGAAATTATTTGAACAATATTACCTGTATTAATTTTAATATTTATTGCATTTCCTTCTTTAAAAACATTATATTTTATTGATGAAACATGAGATCCTATTTTCTTTACAATTAAATATATGAATATTGAAAGATATTGAAGATATGAATATCCAGAATTTAAAAATTTAAATTATGATTCATATATAATTGAAGATTTAGATAATATAAATATATTTCGTTTATTAGATGTAGATAATCGAATAATTATAATTATTGCTATTATCAATTTTCAAAATAATATAAATGAAAGAACGTACATAAAATGAGCATCGAGTTACGTTATGTAGTTTTCATTTTTACTTAAATTTGAGAATTCGGTTTTTATCGCTGTCGAACATAGGCATCGATGACATATTTATGGTTCCAGCTGTTCCCCCGTAGTAAATCGGTTAAGGAAACTATTTTCTCGTCAAAATATAGATCACATGTCGTTGGGAGGGCTCGGGGACAGCTTCTACGAGTACCTGCTGAAAGCTTGGATTCAGTCGGGCAAGGAGGACGTCGAGGCACGTCAGATGTACGACGAAGCGATCGCGGCGATAGATCAACACATGATCCAAACGTCACCTGGAAAGCTGCTTTATGTATCGGACCTGAAATACGACAGGCTGGACCATAAAATGGGTCATCTGGCCTGTTTCGCTGGTGAGTATTAACAGAAATCCTCTTACTCTTCCATTTGATAATCTTTTCACTCGCATTTGCGCGAAATATCTTTTCAGCGACCATTTTCTTCTGTTTGGAAATTGATCAGAAGTTAACCATAGGCTCCGTGAAACAAATAAAGTGTCTGTTTCCAGGTGGAATGTTCGCATTAGGTGCCAAAACAATGGAAAACGAAATGTCTGACAGATACATGTCGATAGCCGCTGGTCTAACTAACACGTGTCACGAATCCTACGATCGAAGCTTCACGAAACTTGGACCGGAAGCATTCCATTTCATCGAGGGTAACGAGGCGAAGAGCTTAAAGAACGGCGAGAAATATTACATCCTCCGACCGGAAGTAAGTATCTTTCTCCCTTCCATTCGATACAGAGTTCATTCACCGGCTGTAAAACATATATTCTGAAAAACGAAAGAGGAATATAAACGACCTAGGTGAAACGAGCTGGGAAGTAACGTTTCGACGTAATTTTCTGGTGTTTTCCCAGCCGGGAGAGCTAAAATATTCAATCCTTTGTTTTTCACGTCACTCACTGGGCAAATGTCTGCTGGCCAGATTCCGTGGAATAAAATATTTATCTTTCAGACGTTCGAATCGTACTTCGTGATGTGGCGGCTGACAAAGGACCCGAAATACCGCGAGTGGGGGTGGGAGGCTGTCCAGGCGTTGGAGAAATACTGTCGTGTTCCAGGAGGCTTCACTGGACTTCACAACGTTTACGTGATCGATCCGCCGCAAGACGATGTTCAACAAAGCTACTTCTTCGCTGAGACTCTCAAGGTACTAGTCCCTTTTTTAACGAACCACACCCCTAACTTTGTTTCGAAAAGGGTAGTTTTTCATAGTTTGTTGTAACCATTTGAGTTCCTCGAAACTGCCAAGCACACTTTGCCTCGACGGTCCAGACAGCCTTTCTTACAATTTTATTTCGAGCCAACAATGGGGATGAATTCAAAAGCATAAGGAGAAAAGTTTATTGGGACACGACAATGCTAGATTTCACGCTCCAGCAGCCACCAAAGAGACAATGGCGAAGTTGGATCTCTCTGTTTCAACCGCCATACTGTTCAAACTTAACGCCATTCTTAAAATCGAGGGAATTTTCACATTTTCGTGCTAATCTACTCGAAATAAAACAAGTTGAATGCATTCTTAATTACTGTAAATCTTGAATCATTTTTCGTGAGATTTCTGAGGAGAAATCGAGCCATTGGTTGTATTTTATTAATTTATTTCAAGACGAGCCATACTGTTCAAACTTAACGCCACTCTTAACACTTTACCGACCGGTAGAAGTTGATTAATCGGCTATCGGTCGGTAAGCGTTGGTCGGTAAAGAAGTTGATTAATACGCTATCGGTCGGTAAGCGTTGGTCGGTAAAAAAGTCGATTAGTAGGCTATCGGTCGATAATGTGTTAAAATCGAGGGAACATTTTCGTGCTAATCTACTCGAAATAAAACAAGTTGTAATGCATTCTTAATTACCGTAAATCTCGAACCATTTTTCACGAGATTTCTGTGGAGAAATTGAGTTATTAGTTGTATTTTATTAATTTATTTCAAGACGAGCCATACTGTTCAAACTTAACGCCACTCTTAACACTTTACCGACCGGTAGAAGTTGATTAATCGGCTATCGGTCGGTAAAAAAGTTGATTAATACGCTATCGGTCGGTAAGCGTTGGTCGGTAAAAAAGTCGATTAGTAGGCTATCGGTCGGTAATGTGTTAAAATCGAGGGAACATTTTCGTGCTAATCTACTCGAAATAAAACAAGTTGTAATGCATTCTTAATTACCGTAAATCTCGAACCATTTTTCACGAGATTTCTGAGGAGAAATTGAGCCATTGGTTGTATTTTATTAATTTATTTTAAGACGAGAGGGCAATGAATACGAGCCATCCGGCGGCAATGTGTTGAACCGACCGATATAAATTAAGAAACCCTCCCATAATTAGTCGTACACTGTTTCGTCGATTTTATCAATGGTTAATTACCAGTTTTGCATCCAACGAATTAGCTTCCCGCGAAGTTTCGTTCGACCTCCAGCTGAGCCAACAACTCACGATGTAACATTCGTTTTTTTTTATCATACTTCGCGAAGTCCGCAACGTTTAAGATCGCATCTTGAATGCGAACCGAGCTCGTTAACTTCCCTATAAAGCAGCCACGGTTTTTGTAACGCCGCGCGGCGGGAAACGATTAAACCGATCGAGCTACAAAATGGTAACGCGAACCTGAACGTAGACAGTCATTATCGTCCATAACGGCGAGTATGTTACGAAGTTAATTCACTTATTAACGCGTTGTTGATTACCGTTCGAATACCACTGGACCTTCCAGGAATCTCATTAAAACGTCGCTTTTCCAACATCGCCATTTTAAAGCTTCCAAGACTCGCGGATGGCTTTCTTGGTAACCAAGAAAAATTTCTGGGGTCTCAAACAACATTGCTAACATGTTTATTTCACGGGTAAAAAGTCGTAGATTACGTTGATAAAATATTTAAATATATTTAGTAAACATACTCTGAACCCTGTTAAATTTTTTTTCAATATTCCATTATTTGTTTTTATAAAGAATTAATATCGAAAGTGTTACTTTTTCAATTGTTACTCAAAATTGTATTTTGCATTAGATGTAATGAGAGACTGAGTTATACTACTATTCTTCTTCAGCTTTAACTATATTTTTCCATCGACTCTGCAATGCAAATGAACGAAGCCCATTAATTCCCATTAACTCTGTCAATTCAACAATGTTTGGAAATGGAATAATTCGAATTGATGAACGCGTAAAAAAACGAACTTTTCCATTACGATGTTTATTTATCAAATCGATATTGCACCCAAAGCCAACTTTAGCCACTTGCTGTTAAGTGTTTCGCAATTTCTTTCGATATTAAATGGATGAATATAAGAAGAATATACAATACATCCGATCAATCACTCTTGCAACACAGTGGTATCATGTTATAATTTATACACAGTGTCATTATAATATTTTGGTAATATCTTCATCAGTTTCTTGCATCATTTGGGGTGCAATTCGACTTGATGGGGGGGAGATCTATAACGCGTAAAAAAACGAACTTTTCCATTGCTACGTCTATTTATCAAATCGATATTGCACCCAAAGCCAACTTTAGCCACTTGCTGTTGAGTGTTTCGCAATTTCTTTCGATATTAAATGAATATAAGAAGAATATACAGGGTGTTCGGCCACCTCTAGCAAAAATTTTAATGAGCGATAGTAGAGGCCAAAATAAGACGAAAATCAAGAATACTAATTTGCTGATGGAAGCTTCGTTAGAAAGTTATTAACAATTAAATTCAAAAATTTCAAATCGTTCTGGAAAAATTATTTTCGGTTGCGGGGGTCGACTACAATCATTTTTGGTGAGTACACATACCTCCGAAATCCTATCCACTTTCGAGAAAAAAAATCGAGTAGGTGCTGAAATTTATCGGCGAAAAAAAATTTTTCAAATCGTTCTAAAAAAATTATTCTCGGTTGCGGGGATCAATTACAATCATTTTTTATCATTACACATACCTCCGAAATTGTACGCACTTTCGAGAAAAAAATTCCTTACTGAAAATCCAATTAGGTGCCTAAATTTTTCAACGGAGAAAAAAAATTGCAAATCGTTGTGGAAAAATTATTTTCGGTTGCGGGGGTCAATTACAATCAGTTTTTGTCATTAGAGATACCCACGAAATCCTGCCCACTTTCGAGAAAAAAAAATAGAGAAGGTGTGAAATTATTCGAGAAAATTAAAAAATAGCAAATCGTTGTGGAAAAATTATTTTCGGTTGTAGGGTTCAATTACAGTCATTTTTGGTGAATAGACATACCCCCGAAATCTTGCGCATTTTCGAGAAAAAAATTCAGTAAGGGCGGCACTTTAAACGTTAATAACTTTTTAACGAAGCGTCCATCAACAAATTGGTATTCTTGATTTTTGTCTTATTTTGCCCTCTAGAATCCGCCATTAAAATTTTTCCCAGTGGTGGCCGAACACCCTGTATAATACATCCGATCAATCACTCTTGCAACACAGTGGTATCGTGTTTTAATATATACACAGTGTCATTATAATATTTTGGTAATATGTTTCGATGTAACTTGTCAGTTTCTTGCGTTATTTGCAATTGGACGTGGAATGCTCCCCGTTGAGAATCTCTGCAGTGGATTACTGAAAGCGTTAGCAAATAAATGAACGAAACGTGAGGAAGTAATTACCGAGATCGTTATTCTGATGTTTTGCAGTACCTCTACCTGCTGTTCAGCGACGACGACCTCATAAACTTGGAGGACTGGGTGTTCAACTCGGAGGCCCACGTGCTTCCCATCAGGGGCAATCCCCTTTACCGGCCATCCCCTTCTTTATAATTCGAACGAAGTCTCACGATGCGTAAAAGCAACGCGCCGACGCGAGAAGATTCTTAACACCGGGAATCCCCATCGTAGGGCGCGCCAAAGGGAGACGGAACTCGAGAAACCGGGACAGGAGCAACCAAAAATAGGGCGAAACAAAAGGAAGAGGAACAAAATAGGGATACGGCAGTGCACAGAGGGATAAGGTGGCCACTCGAGGACGAGGAGAGTCGGAGAACACAACGTCTATCGGAGAACAATGGCGGAAACGCGAGGTCTCGTCTCGGAGACGTAAAAGTCGCGCGTTGCCGCGCGGTTAAATAATTATTTTAGGTAAAACGAGGTAATAGGGAACGGAGGCGGCGTTACAGGGAATTATCGCCGACTGTCGGGCAATTTTGATCAAATTTCGCAGAGATTTTTCTTTGCTCCGATCTAAAAACCAGTATCGTACCACTTTACGACTTCCAGCGAGAAACCACCCCTTGTAAGAGATCTATTTTATTCAAGAATACATAACTCTTAAATCACAAAGGATAAAGAAAGTTACTGTTTCTGGGGAAGCTTGGGAAAAAGTGTCGGGGACAAAGTTTTTTAGAAAATTTCACTCCTGTCCCCTCTATTTTTACATTTTTCTCTGCTGATACGAAATTTGGCGTTTAAGGGTTATATAGACACGAACGAAATGGGTGGTTGGTCCCTTAAAGTCGACTAGCAACGGGAGAACGTGGTTTTTAGGACGTGTCGGCGATCGTTTGTGCAAAGTTTCGTTAAAAAGCGATGTCTGACAGTTCGACGATGCTGCCTTGTGAACGACACACGCGCGTACGTTTGTAAATAGCGAGAAAAGAGCGCATGCGTGAGAATATATAAAATAGAAAAAACGGAACGCACGAATACGAGAATGGACTTCAATAGAGAGTACTTTAACCACTTCTTTTTTTCGCCCGCGACACGAAACGGTCTACCCAGAGGAACCCATTCCGGAGGGCATTGGAACGTTTGGTCAGATTTATCGGTGATTATGGCGTGTTTCTCTTTTTCTTCTTCCTTCCGTTCGAGCTTGGAAAAAAAACAAACAAATGATGAACCTTCCCTCTGAAAGAACGGAGAAGCTAATTATCGCGTGTGTGACTACGACGATGAAGAATGGTATTCGGTTTCGGGGATGTTCCTTGGGGAGCGGTTAAATATATACCATTCGTTACGAAAGTGGTGAAAAGACGTTTCGAACGAAATTATCTAACATAAAATTACCTTTTCTGTTCACTGAAATTCGGTTAATTAGCAACGATGATTCCCTCTAAACTACACGCTGGCAAATGATGTTCCATTTCATTAACGATGTAACATTTTTTACTACTTTTACATATTTACGTATAGTACAAAACTCGCTTCATTTCAATAAAAAAATGTAAAATTTTCGCGACCTCTGATTGCTCAAAGGAGTGCAACTGCCTATTCGGAGGATTCTAACGAATCAATCACCTGCTTCGCTGATTTAGGGGGAACAACGATGATCCATATTTTCTCCAAAAAATATTTCATGTTTTTTAAAATTCATAAACTCGTAAAGAGACGGATTTTCACCGCTTTAATTGCGAATATCTAACAGTTATTCGACTTTGTGATGTACAATGATAAAAAAAAAAACAGTCCTCCAAGATAAAAAATAAAAATCGATCGCAATTGCCAACCGTCGATTCCGCCACTTTTCAAACTCCACCGAGACGAACCTGTTCGCGGCTTTTTCTAACGTTTTCTACTTTTGAATAACAACACTGCGCCTCGACGATCTCGGTGGCGGAGAACGCCAATGGAGATTTATTTTTTTCTATTTAGCGGTCACAAAAAAAATGCAGACCAGTCGTGGAATTGTTCATTAGCGTCGACTCGCATAGAATTTTTCGGATTAGTTGAATATACCGTGAAGGGTGATCCTCTGTTGTCGCAATTCGGCTTATTTTCATCCGTAAAACATTGCTACGATACGTTTAAGCATACCTGTCGACGAGGAGTTCATAAATCTAGCGATCACGAAGTAAAATTATTACGTTTTATTTGATAATTTGAGATTTATCAGAAGATGGGCAAAATTCTTATTCGGATAAATATTACAAATAACGACTATATGATAAACAACATATATTTGTTATCATCGAATAATGTTGTTTTCATTCATTATTTATTATTCGAATAAAATGTTACCCATCTCTGGTGTTTATTTTTATTTTTTACGAGTACCTTCCATTAACTCAGATGTTTCTTTAAAAATACGATCACGAAGCCCGCGGTAAATGGCGGAAATTCGAATACAATTCCAAGTTCCTAACGCCCTTACTTTCCACTCTTTACGAGTTCCAAAGCGTCTCTTAAATCGTGTGTGTTAGCATGTATCGGTGGAACTCGCAGAGTAAACTTTGCTACGAAGCTCGTATTTCGAAACGTGATTCCATATCGTGGCATTTTTACGAACCTCTGGAAAACAGGCTTGCAAAACCTAGCTCGAATTATCAGGTTCAATTCGTAAGTTTGTTAATTCAAAACCGTAATTAAATAAAAAATATTAACGTTCAAGAACTCGAGCATATATAAAACGACCACTCAGTGTGTGGCGAATATTATTTTAAATGTGAAATATAGTCGAGAAGATGCCGAAAGTTGCGACAAATCACATCGTTCATCTGAGCCAGTCAATACAATCGAATTAACTTTGATATTCCGAAACGTGTGTAATAAATCGAGTCTAAGGATAATAATAGCAATAACGCGGCTCATCGTGACGAAAATGGAGCAGAGAGTTGCCCTTCGTGGGAGCCGATTCGCGATCACCGTTGCATCGATTCTCGCGTTCGAACAGCCTTCCTGTATGCAGTCGGAAGCTCGACTGGCCGTCGAAGGCCAGCGGCAAACTATCCCCACTCCACCGCTTCGTCTCTCGTCTCTGCGCATGCCTGGTGCATCCACGCGGCACCACCGCTGGAACAGTGGAAGTGGTGGGGATCGTACTAGATGCGATTCACGCTCGTAAAACTGACCTTAAGCGACCGTTTCGATCCATTTCGACTGCGCTACTCGCCGCGAAAGGCTTTCGACCGTCGAGCGGCCCGCTCTGTCCGCCATGGCAACCATGATCAACACGCAGCCACTCATCAGATGTTTCCGGTGCGAGTGTACATGCTGAATATTTTCTGTTTTGCGTGTGCCGAACGTGTACAGCAAGCCGAAAAGGGGAAAGCAAAAACAGCGCGAGCCAGTCGCATTTGTAGTTAGTAAACGACATTAGCAAGCCGATTAAACTAGCGTGTATATAAAGATTTAAATGAAAAAAAAGAAAGTCATATTCTATACGAGGTACAAGGCGTAGAGCAGAATTATAGCGGTACTGGTGTAATTGTATAGGCTTTTGCAACGAACGCGCGCGAAAAAGAGAGAGAGAGATAGAGAGAGAGAGAGAGAAATGTATGCATGCTGTTGTGAGTGTGAAACGTTGTAAAATTGAGCCATACGCGTGTTCGTCGGTCACGATTCGTTTGAGTCAGATGCATTTTGCTGCGTTCTATTGCGGGAAACGAATTTAAAAATTGAAACTGACATTTGTTTACCAAATTTAATGAAAAATGTTTGAACAGATTTACGATTTCAGTATGTAATTTGCGAGTGCTTAAACTATAAGAACTATTCAAGAATTGCAAGAAAATTGTACAATAATTTTGAATATTAATTGAATTAAACTTTAAGATCCGCCTAATTGCAAATGGACAGGTAGAAATTCTGTTAAGAAAGCGTGTTAAAATTTGAATACAAATTAAATAAATTTACCTAGACCTTTTGGAAGGGAATGCTCTCGATGGGGAGACGTCTATTTTTCCAAAATTTCCAAAACGTTCCCTGTTCTCCGGTTGGACGCAATTTGTATTTAAAAAGCGATCGTTTCTCGCATTTCGACGCAGGAAATACCGAAGAAGTGGTTCTTCGCGGAGGATCAGTCGAACAATCAGTAAGCATCGCACCTGTCGATGATTAAGACGGCCAGAAAGTTACTTAATATATTATACATAATATACTTCACCTCTTGCCTTTCGTTCCTCGATTTCAAACCATCATCCTCTTTGAGCGTTCATCCCGGAACAGAAGCAAGACACACACACACACACACACACACGCCGGAACACATGTATTCGCGTACATCTTTTCTACTCGATGGGAAACGAAACGCTTGGAAAAGGAACAAGCGAATCGTTGGTCCATTCGTATAGTTGCAACTGTCGTTCGTTCGCAGACGTTCACTGTTATTGACGCGCTGAAGCGATTCCCTGACTTATCATTCGATTCGTGGATTTTAGGCGGCTGGATAACGTTCGAAATAATTTCACACGCGACGGAGATTCGTGGCACTTTGAATGTGAAAACGTGAGAACGCGTTACGTCCGTGATATCGTTAAATTCGTGAAATTACGCGCTCGTATAATTATTCATCAGGGAACATCTCGTTTTTAGAAAATGTCGTTACAGTACGATTGTTCGAGGAAAAAATTGTATGTCCGTGTTTAATACTGACAACGAAATTACCTTTTGTACCGGTCACTGCGCAGGAAATTTATGATTTACCAAAGAGAACAAGAGGAATGTAATATCAGCATCAGCGAGCATGTCAACGATTTTTTAGTGTCTTCTAGCATGTAAAACACACTTCGCTCGGAATTGGACGGCCAAAAAAAAAGTCTCTTCGTTTCCCTCTCTTTCTTTACGGACAAATCAGCGACGGAAATGATTATTTGCGTCGCTGGTATACTTACACGTGTAAACAGCGAACCTTAGGCCGTTGTCTGTGTAACAAAGTAGTATCAAAGACGATAATCAATGGTGATGGCGACGACGAAGGGTTGAGAATAGGTTGGCGGTGACAAGGATAGTAATAAAATGATAATTAGCCTATACATATATTTGTGAATAGATATTTAATAATTTATTGTTAACTAGATTATTTTATTCGAAGAATTTCATTAAACGGGGTTTTGGGTACCAATAAATATCATTTCTTACGCCGGAAGGGGATACCGAGATTGAGTGAGCGCGAGAGAGAGAGAGAGAGAGAGAGAGAAAGAGAGAAAGAGAGAGCGATAGTTTGTACGTGCGCTTTTATCAAAGATCCGAGAAAGATAGAAAACTGTTTTTAGCTTTACTTATCGAATTTTTGTAAGGCGGAGCGATCCAGACATGTCAGAAAGATGAAAAAGAAATATATATTATATATTTATCGTTGGTCGAGAATGAGATGAAGAATGGTGAATGATAAAACGACGACGCGATACTATATACTTGTAAATACAATACACGATTTAGTGATAACGGGGTTTTACTTTTAACAGCTTTATGTGATTATTACTTTGTCATGATCAGTGAAATAAATAAATGATGATAATACTTTAATCGCGATATCGTTCATCTTCATAACTCCTTATAAAACGTTAAAATATTTTAAGTATTCAAATACTATATATTCAAGAATAGATTGGGTTATTTAATTTAAAATGAAACCATGACAGCTCTATTTAACACTAGAAAGATTGAAACTTAGTATATACCTATATTGCCCAAAAGCAGTCAAAATGACTGCATCGTGAAAGAATAAATAATGTGTAAAGAAATTTGTTTAAAATTAATTTTTAATATTATGGTATAATATTATGAATTTAGGGCGCAGAAATAAAATAAACAACTTGTTAGAACAAGTATCACTGCATAAAGATTCGAATAACAAGTACTACTTTAGCTTATTGAGAAACTGTAATTTATCAATAGGTCTGGGTTAGGTCTGGGTTAGGTCTGGATTAGATCTGAGTTAGGTCTGGGTTAGGTCTGGATTAGATCTGGATTAGATCTGGGTTAGGTCTGGATTAGATCTGGATTAGATCTGGGTTAGGTCTGGATTAGATCTGAGTTAGGTCTGGATTAGATCTGGGTTAGGTCTGGATTAGATCTGGGTTAGGTCTGGGTTAGGTCTGGGTTAGGTCTCATTTACACTGTTGTTGTATTTTGTAATTTCCAAGTGTATGATATCTGTTTGGTTTGGACTTGAAAGAATGTCGAGTGAGACTTGACGAAGGTGCTCCTGAGATCAAAATTGATGTCGAATCACACTCGACATAGGAGTGCAAAGGGTTAAGATAATTTGGATTATTAACTAATCCAGACCTAACCCAGACCTAACCCAGACCTAAACCAGACCTAACTCAGATCTAATCCAGACCTAACCCAGAGCTAACTCAGATCTAACCCAGATCTAATTCAGATCTAATCCAGACCTAACCCAGATCTAATCCAGATCTAATCCAGACCTAACCCAGATCTAATCCAGACCTAACCCAGACCTAACCCACACCTAACCCAGACATAACCCAGACCTAACCCAGACCCAACCCAGACCTAACCCAGATCTAATCCAGATCTAATCCAGACCTAACCCAGATCTAATCCAGACCTAACCCAGACCTAACCCACACCTAACCCAGACATAACCCAGACCTAACCCAGACCTAACCCAGACCTAATCCAGATCTAACTCAGACCTAAAACTTACGCCATAAGTCGTCAAACTCAATTGTCGACAAATGACACGTTTGATCAGTTTGCAGAGACAATGCAGGTCTCTAGATCGTTTGGCTTAGAGAAGTGATTAAAACTTGAACAGTATCAATGTCAAAGTAAAATACAGTTATTGACTGTGTTAGAAACTTGATTAGATTTATGATAGAGTCGCTAAACACCACTATATTTGAGATTAGCTAATTTCAATTCGCTTCTTAATAGTTTTACAGCTAAACAAGGTGTCCCCATTGAGAAACCTTTCGAAGGAAAGCTTCTCAATCACATTCGTAACTAAGACACAATGTAAAATTTTAAAAAAGACACCCAATGTTCGTCCATAGGGGGAAACACGTGTAATTTTCGAATAAAATCATAGATATGCTTATGTAATATTCTGCATACCTGAGTTCTATCAACTTGTTTGCGAAGTCTCCATGCAAAGGATGCATCTCTGGCGCGTTTCGATAGAATTTTATACGACTTGTTGCACGGTCGAAGGACAACGAGCAAGTAAAACACAACAATGGAGGCTACCCACGTGTGGTACCAGCGGCCACGTAAAACAGGGCGACGCAGAAGGAAAACGAACGACGTTGTGTTTCCATAACTATGGGAAACGGTCATCTGTTTTCCGACGATATTAGAACGCAGAGATAGAGATAATGTTTCTGTAAAAACAACGAGTCGCGTTTCCCCGACGAACGTGTAATTTCCGACGATTCTTACCGCGCGATTTGCGGTCTGAGGGAAACATTATAACGCGGCGGACCGATCGATGAACAGCCTGTAATCATAGCGCCCTGTGCAGACCTAATGCATTGTTTCCAATTACATTAACCCTAGGTCTTTGCTGCAACATTATAGTTCATTATTTTTTCAAATGACACGCGACGGGGGGGGGGGGAAAATATACCGGGGAGGGTGGACAATGTCTGGAGGGTCTGGCAAAGCCCCCTGATCGACCGTCGCCCCCAGACTCATTTTAATTTTCGAGCAGCAATGGACGATTTGAACGACCATCGCTATAAGCTGAGCAGAGTTCTTTTGTCGCTCGTTGGATTATGGCCGTACGAGAACACGCGATTCACGCGGGTCAAAAGAGTATTTTCCGTGCTGATTCTTACCTCCTCTATATTCTTTCAGGTACTGTTATCTCCATATCGTATTCACGTGGTTTGAATTAATTCGCTAAAAGAATGCCGCGTGATTGAATTTTCATTCATCAGGATAGAAATATTTCATTTACCATTATATAATTATCTTCCTGAAAACAATAATCAAACTCTTACTGTTTTAAGAAATTTACGTACAAATATTAATATATATTCATAATTCAACAAGCTGTCATTTTGAATCTTTGTTTCCAACAAAATGATTCAACCCTGAAGACTGACTGACCCTTAACTGACTCTAATCATAAGTATCTGCGCTAATTAATTTCAGTTTGTAGACTTGTTTCGGACTCCAAACTATAACCGAAAGCAGCTCCTAAACACCGTGACAAGCGTCGTGATAAGTAGTATATTTCTGCATAAGTGGTGCACATTTTGGTACAACCTGAACGGTGTAAGTATTTTGAAATTTACTTGGAATATTCTCTAATAACGTCGCAATGCACTCGTATCGCGATTTTTTCAATAGAACTCACGAGAACAAGAACGACGCAAGCCGATTTTATTTCACTTTCGAAAAAGTAACGCGTGATGCGTGGTATTCCACGAAACACCAACAGACTTTTAATGCCATTCATTCAAATCAACGATCATTTTTCGCGACTGTAGATCGAGAAGATCATAGATATGATTCGAGATAACTGGACGTCCATAAATAGCGAGGACGACCATAAAATAATCCTGAATTACATCGATCGTTCGACGTTGCTAAGTCGAATTTTTACATGTAAGGGCGAACATTTTTCTCTGTTTCACGAAGCTAAAAACAATCGTTATCGTTGCTTTGATAATTGTAACCGTGCAAATGAGAATAGTGTCAACAAGGTGGAAGGTTGAACAATTTTTAAGGAACTGGAGCGCAGATATACAGGGTGTTCGGCCACCTCTAGCAAAAATTTTAATGAGCGATAGTAGAGGCCAAAATAAGACGAAAATCAAGAATACTAATTTGTCGATGGAAGCTTCGTTAAAAAGTTATTAACAATTAAATTCAAAAATTTCAAATCGTTCTGGAAAAATTATTTTCGGTTGCGGGGGTCAACTACAATCATTTTTGGTGAGCACACATACCTCCGAAATCCTATCTACTTTCGAGAAAAAAAATCGAGTAGGTGGTGAAATTTTTCGGCGAAAAAAAATTTTTCAAATCGTTCTAAAAAAATTATTTTCGATTGCAGGGGTCAATTACAGATATTTTTCGTGAATAGACATAACCTCGATTTCCTAACCATTTTCGAGAAAAAAATTCAGAAAGTGGGCAAATTTTTTCAGAAAATTGAAACTTTCAAATCGTTTTGGAAAAATTATTTTCGGTTGCGGGGGTCAATTGCAATCAGTTTTTGTCATTAGACATACCCGCGAAATCCTGCCCACTTTCGAGAAAAAAAAATAGAGAAGGTGTGAAATTATTCGAGAAAATTAAAAAATTGCAAATCGTTGTGGAAAAATTATTTTCGGTTGTAGGGTTCAATTACAGTCATATTTGGTGAATAGACATACCCCCGAAATCTTGCGCATTTTCGAGAAAAAAATTCAGTAAGGGCGGCACTTTAAACGTTAATAACTTTTTAACGAAGCTTCCATCAACAAATTAGTATTCTTGATTTTTGTCTTATTTTGGCCTCTACTATCGCTCATTAAAATTTCTGCTAGAGGTGGCCGAACACCCTGTATATTTTACTCACATCCACCCTGATTCTCAAGGACTCGAATTCCAGGTGAACTATTGATTATTACAGGCATCATTTATCTGGGAATATCCTGCTTTTTGATATACGATATGCCCGTCTCAAACGATTCCGAAGCATCGCTCGACACGGAAAACATTGACCTGCACATTGGATTGAATTATTACAGCGACAAGAAGATATACTCTTATGTCGCATATTTTCACGAGTATACTATGCTTGTGATCGGTGCTACCACCATTAGTGGTACAGAATCAACGTCGACGTTACTTTCTCATTACGCTAGCGGTCTGTTTCACGTGGTACGGTAAGATATGTTAAAAAGTAAGTTGCACGTGGAACTGACGCTACGAAAAGTTCAGTAAAACACAACATTGTACAAAGTTTTGGTTTACCAAATACATTGCAAATGTCACCTTCGACTGTTTTTATTTTATTTTAAAATAAGTACACGTTCTCCCCAATAATTATTAGTCACTTGTACTTATTTTAATTCCGGTGTTTTGTCACAGTTATCGGATACAGAACGCGTTAAACGACAAAGTAGAGAAATCTTCAATTTTCGAAAGGAACAGGGCGGTGCGTGGCAGACTGATCATCGCCATAAAAGTGCACAAAAAAGCGTTACAGTCAGTACCGTTGATTCATATTTTTAAGCAAATTTATCCAATCATATTTGAAAGTTTGAATTATATTATCTAATCTGAAAGTCTGCTTCCTAAAGGTATTGCAAAGTCTTAGATGAAACCCTAGGCTTTTCCTATCTTACATTGCTTGTAATGGGGGTGTTTTCCCAGAGCCTAAACCTTCTACGTGTAAGTACAGACATAGGTATTCTTTCTACGATACAGTTATGTATATTTATGGTTTTCGTTTCGACGTGTAGCTATCTCAAGCTAGGCTACAAACTAATAATAAGTTCACAGTAGCGGTGTTGGAAATAGTTATCGTTCTTGCACACTGTTTCTACTTGTTTCTGGCT